CAGTTTTTTGTGAGAGAGGGAAGTAGGTTATAATCTGGGAAGTGGATTATAACCCACTTCCCAAAAGACCCTAAAATAGCAAGATCAGAGGCTACGATGGCTTCGTGATCACCAGAAGTTGTAGATTCGTTTTTGTCTTCATCGACTCCACCATTTCTACACAAAATCAAATTAAAAATAAATAAATAAATAAATAAAACCTAGCTTCAAAAATGGGCTTAAAAATTGTAGATCTAAAGAGAGAGAGGGAGAGAGAAAAAAAAAAAGAAAAGAAGAAGAAGACGAAGTTTTAACGTAATATTTACCAGTTAAGCAAAAACATAATATTAAGCAAACACTATTCAACATTAATCTATCATGATTTTTCTAAACATAAACTTTTAAAATATAAACATACACATTGTTCAACCAAAAAGAAATATTACGTTGTGTTTTTTAGTAGTGATCTGAAAAGGGAAACGGGAAAATGTGAGTAAAATGTGAAACAAATACAAATTTCTATTCAAATCTACCAAACACACTAAACCCAAAAATCCTATGTGAATATTGGAAAATAGACAAGAAAATATTCAAACCCAACTAACCTGTTGTCAAGCCCTCTATTGAAGAAATGGAAGAACTATAATTTGCCTTTTTGAAGAAGACCTGATTTGGACTCTCGCGATGCATACATACAAGCCTTGGAAGTTTTGTTCCTTCTATTGTAGGCTCCATTTCTTGGAAAGGAGTACATATGGGGGAGAAGAGGAGAGGAGAGAGTGCAAAAGCAGGAACTCCCCATTCCAACGACCGTTGCTTTTCTGGCGTAATAATTTTTTTTTTAACTTCCACAATATATGTAAAAACCAACAAATATAACCAACAAAGATTTGAATGTAATTGCCAAACGCCACAACTCTGGTTAGCAGTTGTGACTGTGCGAGTAAAAGAAATGATCATGTAGGTGTCGTTTGGTAACACTTACGTTTTCAGTTTTCTGTTTATATTTATAAAAATTTTAAAAACTCAAATAAAAACTTATTTGGTAAAATTTTTGATTTATAAATCAGTGGTCTCAGTTTATAAATTTGGCCAAAAAATGAAAACACAAAAAATGTGTTTCCATTTTGAGTTTTCAGTTTTTTTTTTTTTTTTACCACCCAACACTAGCCACCACCCACCACTATTTTCTACCACCGTCCTCTGCCACCACCACCACCACCCACCTGCCATCCACCACCCACCACCCAGCCACTGCCATCACCTACCGGCCACCACCACCCGCCACCTAACATGTTATAATTCTTCATTTTGAAATGATTTATAACATTTCTTACACCAAATGATTTCTAACATTTATAATTTTATATTAAATGGTTCGTAACTTTTCATTTTAGTGGTGCACACTATAGATTCAACATTCATAACTTTGATTACAAAATAATATAACGTATACCACAAATAATCATAACTTTCTTATAACAAAGGAGTTTGCATAATAGCATTTTCAATTTGTCATTCTGTATCACTATTATACTCAACTAGCGGTAATCTGTACTACGCATGGAACTTTATAAATTAAAATAAATCATTATAATTATCTTGCAGTAATTTAATATTTTGTCTTGTGCTATGCATAAAATTTATAGATTAACTTTTATTTTTATAGCTTTATTTTTGTCATGGCTCTGTCTTGAAACTGAGCCCACCATTGCATTTTCTGGAGACCCATACAAGACACTCTTTGTTGCTAGGCTTGTGAGTAATAGTGCCTTACTGTTTTTCAATTTTCAATTATTTCCTAATATTTAACTTAGTAACTTGTATGATGCCTTCCTTCTTTCAGAATTATGAAACATTGGAGAGCGAAATAAAAAGGGAGTTTAAAGCTTATAGGCCCATCAAGCGGGTAGGCATTAAAGAGCACCTCTTAGTGGTGCTCGGGTTATATTGCCTTTTGGTTTGGTAAGAAGTTCATTTTTTAATTACATTTTTTTT